GGAAACTTCAGTCCAAAGTTGATTAAATAATGGAAAATGTTTGTGAACGTGGCTCCAGATTAAGAAGCGTGTCAGAAAAGTGTTGGGGTGCCACTAATTATTATTCGGGAAAAGAGGCTGTTTTACGTGGCTACTCTAGGCCGGTTTGGCTATGTTTTGGTCATGCAAAAAAATTGCAAGTGGAAAGTCAAAGGAGGTGCTGTTTTCCGAGTGAAAATGCCTGCACGCAAAGGAACAATTTACTGCCATGTCCGCAGAGGATTCTCACCGTAGCAGCAAACCTTGAAAACTACCAAGGAGGTGCATTTCTTTGCCAAGGCCACCTAAATCTCGTGGACGAAGCTCCCATATTTACCAACCACGCTCTCTACAAACCCCCTACTACGAGAAAGGTATGTTTCTTTTACACTCAAACAACAGTCAAAATGTAGAGAAACAGATCATACATTCTTAGTTTTGTTTTAGAAAATATTCATATTTTGCATTAAATTTTGCCCTATACATTTGTAGACAAAATGTACTACTTCAGTCCTATGTACTACCCCAGAAAAGAAAATAACTTGGACGGATGGAACCTCTCAGACCGCCCCTTTGCAGAGTGTTAATGAGCTAGCAGAGGCAAAACAATTAATCACCAAATTACAGCGCGAAAATGGAGCATTAAAAGAAAGATGCAACAAGCTAGAAGGTATTGTATTGACGTACTCTTAATTTCCACACATTCAAAACAAAGACGACTAGTTTCAACCTTTATTAGAAACATTTTTTTATTAATTTTCAGAGCCAACTTTTGATGAGCAGTTCAAAACGTTCCACAAGTGTCTCACTAAACATTACAAGGATGGAGGGCAGCGGCTATACGACCCTGCAGACATGGAAAAATTTGCCAACAAGTGCACCCCTGGATTGTTCAACCGTGCCTTGTGTCTAGTCAAGAATGATGAAAAACAACAGCTTTCTAAGAAAAGACATGAAATACTGAGACTGCGAGTTGTGGCACTGCTTCATCAGCTGTCTTACTTTAGAAACCAAGTGTGTATAATAATAATAAAAAATAAAATAAATAATAATACTAATAATGATAATGGTAATGATAATGATAATAATAATAATAGTAATAATAATAATAATAACAGGAACCATACTTTAGAAAGACACTTAAATTAAATTAAACACCATGGTGTGTAATAGACACAAGTGTTGCTTGTTTGTTTTCAACAGAAAAACAATCGCTTACAACAAGACTGTGGGTTGCACTTGTCCTTTCATGGTGCCAGTGATGATGCTTTGACAGCTGGCTCACTTCTAGGGTTTAGCACTCACCCGAGAAGTGTGCTAAATCATAAAAAAGGATTGTCTGGAAAAAGCATTCACAAGACACAAGCGATCGTTGAGAGTGCCATAAAGGTACATGTATTTACGTACTGAAACAATTCATTATTAAACATCTGCCACTGCACAACACCCTGGCCAAAACAATAAGTTGACACAAGGTGAGGTGGCTGGACGTAATGAAGCAGGGGCTAAATAGAAGTCACAAGGACCTTGTAACAAGGAGACAAAAACAACAAAAATAGAGTGATTTTATTTGAACCGTGAAACAGATATTAACAAACAGTGCAAAATAGCAAGAGGTAAACAAAAGAAGACAATGGAATTAATACATAATAGTGCGTAATATTCTTCTACCTGTTTCACGGTTTAAGTAAAATGACTTTAATTTATCAGTCCATAGATGTACACTGATCCACTTAAAAATTTCCTCCCCAACAGAACAACAACTTCCTCCTGCTCATTATAGATGATTTTCATTGTGTCCAGTCTATAAAAGACCCCAAACAGAGCCAGCTGAGCAAGTGCCTTCACATGTGTACTGGAGTAGTGGATCACCAAGAATCTATACCGGCAATGCCAACAACAAGAAATGTCCACTGGGTTGTACCTGTCCGAATTGCTGGGGTGCAATTGTTAACTGCCGGGAGGAATTGATGCCAACAAAGTGAACGAGTTGTTTCAAGAGCATTTGTCAAATTATTTTACATTCAGTTATTTAGACTCTCTACCTGCTGATTTCAGCCAGTTTGACCTGACAAATGTAAACAAAAGTTTAGTTGAATTAAGGTATGATTTACAACAAATCAGAAACCTAAAAGTCAAGGTAGTGGTCTAATAGTCATTGGGTGCCACAAGCTTGTACAAAAAGAATAATATAACACTTTTAAGTAATAGATTTTAGTAATGTATTTCATCCAAACTTTTCATGCCATTTAACACTTTGGCATAAATCAATGCCACAGAAATTTTACAATTAACTGGCACCATAAATATCTTTATTATAAATTCCCCCTCAAAAATGAAATTGGCAACTCCCAATGTCAATAACTAGTTTTACATAAAGCCCATCATAAATTTTTTCCACATACCACTTTGCATTGTCTCACAATGTAGGAATTTGAAATGGAAAATTTAATATTGAATGGATAATTGACTTTCAAAAAAT